ATTTCAACGCGATCATTGTATGTACAGTGCTTGCTTTGACATCAAGCTACACCCTCACTGGACTCCTCTGACAAAGCACGTTATTTCTTGCCTGGACTCCCTTTGTATATATGAGCTCACACATTCTGCTTTACAGTGTTCATGGCCATTAGCAAAGTGTCACTCAGAAGGCCCTCTCTGACCTCACTCACCATCCCGCTTCCTCATCTCTACCCCTAACTCCTAATGGCCACCAACTCTTCTCCCTCATTTCCTTTCAGTCTAAGTTAATGGTAAAACAACTTCCAAGCCAGGTGGCCCTCAGATCTCTGGTACTCTTGACTTTCTCACACCTTTTTACAAAGTTCCCAAATGGAAGAACTCAAATTTTTCTTTCACAGGTCTTCAACTCAAACCTGAATGAGTGCCTCTTCTTATGTAGTCTTGGGCTTTGCCTCAAAACAAGTTCAGTGAGTGTTTCATGAAAGAAAGAAGGGGTGGGTCAAGTACCTAAATGTGGAGTGTGCCCTCAGTTAGCAGCTCCTTTTTCCTTCGAAGAGTCTCCAAATGCTGCAAATACTTCACTAAATAGAATTAATTCTTATGCAAAACTATCACTTGAAGTGTGACTGTGACAGTTGTGTCTTAGGCCTTAAAACATTCATCTTGGATTTGAAAGTTCTGGCAACAGGGTCCTATGCGACACATCCTTAATCAGATCCCAGATATCTGCCTCATCCCCATCATCTTAAAAGGTTATATGTCATCACCATCTGTTCACCCGTTTGTGAATGTCTATGCCTTGGGTCAATGTCATCCCATAAGAAGCACACTGTGCGGACATAGGCATAAAAACATGAGGCAAGGGTGCCAAGAACTCAGTGCTCAGTTACTTTCTCTCATTGCTGAAACAAAATACCCAGCATGAGAAATTAAGGAAGAAAAGGTTTACTGAGCTCATGGCTTGTGAAGGTTTCAGTCTATGGCTGGCTGGCTCCAAGGCAGAGTGGCACATGGCAGAGGGAAACAGTTCACAGTGGTGGAAAACAACAAAACAGCAAGAGCAAAAAGGGAGGAGCAGGGACAGAGAGCAAGACTTTTCCTTCCTTATACTGCATTCAGGCGACCCACCCTACGGTGGGTGCAGCACTCTCACCCATGATTCCAGTATTAGTTCAAAATTTAATCGCAAACTCTAGAACCCCACCCTAGGACAGCTGGAGGCTTTGGGGGTACATTTAGACACAATCAATAGCACTCGGGAACCCTGGAAGAAAGTCAGAGCTGCGGAAATCATCTGGATTTTTTAAGAAGACCCACTGACACTTTGTCGTTTATTTGTCATGCTACTCAAGTACCTAGCACCAGTCTTTCTCCTGCAACCGCAAAACTCCTTGCACTGCTCACCAGCCTCGCATGTGATCACATCATCAGTGACTGTCTTTCGCTCGTGACTAATTTTATCCATTCTCGTAGTCCTAAACTCAGAGGCGAGGATCAGTGCAGTCCAGTGGAAAAAATGCCCATCTCAAGCAGACATCGAGAGAGATCCCAGCTCTGTTACCTGCCCAGCATGCAGTGCACGTTCAGTGAGATCAAGCCATGGGTGCTTCCAAAACTCATCACAAAGCAAGACCTATATAGCAAGAAATGTAACTTTTGTTGTTTCTCAATAAAATTAATAGAAAAAGAACCCACCAGACGTGAGCTACATATGGTCCTCCTGTCACTGTGCATGGGAAATTTGAAGAGAATGGGAGTCTGGCTTGCACCAACCCTTTTTTTTCTAGGAAGTCTCCTTGCTCAGATCACCCTATCATTTTGGATGGTAATAATCATTCATATACTTGGCAAGCTCATGTAATCTGTCCAGGCACTCCAACAGATCCTCTGCTCTGTCCCCTCTAGATCCATCTCTACCTGATGTTGGACTGTACATGCAGCTTTGTGGACTTGTTCCCCAGGGTGTCTCTGTTGTGGCCCTGAAAACTGGTAGGGACTAATCTATTTCTGATGCTCCTCAGTAACTATATTCTTTATAGAGCCATTTCCTTTTGAATAAATCCTGACCTCTGAACATTTGGAAGTTGAACTTATATTTAAAAATAGCAAAGAATGTCCAGAGGGATTTTTACACGTTAGAACACTGTAAAAATTTCCCTTTGTATGGGTGAAGGATTCACTAAATATTCTATTCAAACCAGTGAAAAAACAAAGATATACAAATGTAAGATGAGAATAAAATTACCTCCAAATTACATAAGATTTAAAAGAATGATATAACATGCCAAGAGGGTGTAGGGTATCTGGATATTTTAAAGTATCCTGACAATACTCTCAATATATAGGATTTTGTAATGAATTTTAGCAAAATTTATGAAAATATACTAATTGTAACAACTCCATTATAATTTACTTGGTGCAATATTTTTCATATAAAGAACAATGTTGTTTTCCTCTAAGTTCATGTGTAAAGGGCATCAGTTTATTTCCATAGCCATACTAAAAATGTGAACAAAATGTGGGTCCCTTTGCAGCAAATTGTTAATAAATGACATATGAGTTTCAAATCAACAGTGAAGCCTAAAAAGTAAATGGACTCTGTGGCCCATCTGAAATGAGTTGCTTCATTTGAATTTCCTGCAAATATCAAGGTGGTTTAAGAAATCCTTTCTAGCCCTGGGATTATACGTCAAGAATTTGTAAGTCAGGGAATCTATGGCAAATAAAGTGCTCACCTGTAGATCTGAAAATATTTGGTGGAGTAGAGGAAGCACCAAGAAGGATGACGATGTCTCAGAGCTTCACTGTCTGGAGAGCACTGTTACATGGAGGGGTTTGGGATGTGACGGAGAGGGTGTCTGGGGAGATGGAACCCTCAGTGACAGGCACAGGTGGAGTCTGAGCTGGGGATTCCTTGGGAGCCAGTGCAGGCTCTCGAGAAGGCTCTAACTTGGCCACGTCATCAAGTCCTTGAGTACAGGCAGGCTGGCCATTGCGTACTTGGAAAAGGCACTGGAATGGGGAACATGTAGGAGCCGGAAACAAGTGCTGAGTCCAGGACAGAGCCAGCTCTTAAGGAACGACTGTGCGAGGAAGAGGACTCTGGTCAAGGGAGCCTTAGTGGCAGTGCTGTCTGCTTGGCCTCCCCTTTCCCTTGGCTGCTCTAGGCCTGCTTTCTTACAACTTTGATCACACAGTAGTCTGCACTGCTCTCTAACCATTGTGGATCCATGGGCAGGAATAAAACACAGGAAGGTGGTCCCAGGGGATTTAGACCTGCAGTGTGTGGTCCTAGTCCTGGCATTTAGCAACCATGTGAACGTAAATGCTGGGGAAGGGGGCAAATATGGTGTACTTAATGATTGATAGTTTGACTATGATCATCTTCCTTCTACAAGAGACCATTTACATCTTTGAGAAGTTTTTAAGTTGTTTTTTTTTTTTTTTTTTTACCTGGAGTCAAACTGATGACCTTGCGCTTGCCAGGCAAACCTTGTGCTGCTGAGCTATATTCCATTCTCCTCTGAGAAGTTTTTAGTTCATCAAAATGTAGAGGAAGGGAAGGGTAAATAAAATCTAATTACCGAAATGCTGAAAAGTAACCAAAATAATTAATTTTCTATAGGAGAGAACGTTATTCACTATGGAAACTTGGAATTCTTCAAGATTCTTCAAAAATCCTGCTATATTTATGTCAAAGACCAAACTTCCTCTTTCTCTCACATTCCCCAGGAAAACATTCAACTTTTATTTGACTACAACATCCAAACACTATGTAGCTTTCCTAAATTACACAGGAGAGAATGTAACACAAGAGACTCAGACTCTCAACTCAGCACCAAGACTGTCACCCTATGGATGCCCCTTACTGCTCAGAAAACAGTTAAGTTTCCTACTGCTCTACAACAGTAGGAAACACTAGCTTGTGCACTGTTTTCAAAACAGGAGCACCATTATTTTCCTACTCTCCCCAGGGAGACTGTTTCTCTGCCTTGTGATTCAAGAGTAATTTATAAGGACAAGTTACTATTCCATTAGAGTTACCATTAATTCTTAGGCTCACCCTGGGAGGGATTGGGCAGGACTCACAAATACTGCAGGCTTACCTATTCCAGGACACAGTTAACTAAATGAAAGCTCCTAAAATGTGACTGCAGTGACCTAAGACAGTTATGTGCTCTGACTGTTCTCACCAGGAGCTCCTCCTCCTCCAAACTGATTCTGTGGTCTGTATGAAGGTAGACCACACACGATGTCCCTATTATGTATAAATAAGGACTCCAAAAATTTAAGATCCAAAACGGGTCATTTTCCTGTTAGCATCTTTACCACAATCACAGAAACTTACAAAGACCACTACTGAATTACTGCTGGGAATCAAAGAGTCACTGAGCCAGACAGTTTATTACTGCTTAATTTTATTTACATTCTTGCATCACCTAATGGCAACCAGATATCTCTTTGAACTTTACAACAAAAGAGACAAATGAATGAGAATTAAGCAAACCAGTATTTTAGTATGTTTTGCTTGCTCTTTCTGTTTGAAGACCCCCACTATATTTTGGGGGATTCATTCGCACATTTCCAAGAAATATCTTCATTCCAAGCCACATATTTACTCTTAACACATGCAAATAAAGACTTGTAAATGTGTAAAAAAAATCTAAGATTTATAGAAATATATTTTGTGGCAAGAACAACTGTGAGCTGATTAATTCAACAAATACTCTATCAAAAGGAAAAGCATTTGAGAGGCTGTAAACAGGTGAATCACTACGAGTCCAATCTAGTAGTGAGACCCTGAATACCCAGTAGACACTTCCCTAAAAAAAATACAAAAAAAAGAAAAATACTTAAAAGATATCAAAGGATAGAAAGAACAAAGAAACTTCTAATGCTATTTCTACCCCTAAGCCACTTCCCCACTGCTTGTAAGGTAGGAAGCCTCTCCAAAATACAGTGAAGTACTGGTGTTCCTCTCACGGACGTCGAGAGTAACTACACTTTGCCCCGCTACTTTAAGGCAATGGAGAAGTAGGGCCACGTCTGGCTGCAGCTTTCTCTTTGGCCCACTCTTCCTCCTCTCTCAACGCCTCTGCATAATGGACTGGGAAGGCGCTAGGGATGGTTTCATTAACCTTAGCCAAAAACTCAAGGACTTTCATCTTGCTGGTCTCAGCATATGCCCTTGGGCCCCACAGGAATTCATAGGATGGAGGATCACTGTGACGTACCCTACGGTACACCAGATACCCTAACTTTACCAGATCTTTGGTGATGAGATTTCGTGGCTCACCAAAGATTAAGTGTTCTGTGCCATCATACATGTCTAAAGCACTCAGGAACTTCCAGATCACCTCTTCAGTGGCAGAGTTGCCATTTAAAAAGATCACACCAAGAAGAGGCATCAGGAGCCCATTCACGGGAAAGCTCAACCCAGTGAATGCTATGGCACTGTTGGGGCTATCGACCTTGGTGACAAGGGCATAGGAGCCACCACCAGGCTTGACTTCCACAAGCTCAAGGCCAAACAGCAATTCAACCCGATCAGCAGCAGTTTTGAGGATCTCGGGGTATTCTGGACGGAACCTTTTGTGGATAATCCTCAGCATCTCACCCTTCAGAATGGGCTCTTTAATTTTATACCTATACAGCAGGTAGTGCATCAACATTCCTGCCTTCTTCCTATGGAGATCTTTCACTAAGCTCTCAGTAGAGGGCATGGCCTTAGAGGAAGCTGCCCTTTCAGGCTTCTTGCCTTTAGCACCTTTCCCAGATCTTTTTTGGGAAGGTGCACCTGCTTGAGTGGCATGGGATGGAGCTGCCTCCACTTTCTGGGGAACAAGGCCCACAGAGGAGCTGGGAGCAGCTTCCTCAGACTTCTGGGCAACGAGGCCCATAGAGGAGCTGGGAGCAGCTTCCTCAGACTTCTGGGGAATGAGACCCACAGAAGAGCTGGGGCCCGCCTCCTCAGACTTCTGGGGAATGAGGCCCACAGAGGAGCTACTGGCAGCTTCCTCCAACTTCTGGGGACCGAGGCCAACAGAGGAGCTGGGGGCAGCTTCCTCAGAGAGACCAGAGCAGGATGGGGCCTCCCCTCCCTGTGCCCCTGGAGCCTGAGCATCCTGGACAGGCTGGTTCTCACTTCGGGCCTGGCGACGTTTCGCTTGAACACGGAGCTTACTCTTGTGTCCCCGGGGCATGATGACTGAGGTCAGGTAGGACTGTCAGCTGGACAGCAGGTGTTGCTGAAACCTGGAGGAGTGAAAAATGACATTCTGTGAGTACTTTCAGCAAGAAGATCCCACCGTGCCTCTGGTCAGCACCTCTCCACTGCTCCAGCTAAACTCTGGTGTTTTCTTCTCCTGGCTCCAGGACCCAGTGCAGGAGTTATGATGTGTCTTAGACTATAACCCTCTCTAGGGCTGCCGTGGACACAGAATGTCTGACCAGTTCTTCTGTGTGTGCAAGTGTGTTGTCACTTTTCCATGGCGTCATCATAGGTATCTTGGTAGGACCTGTCACAAATTTGTTGTGCTACTCTGATTTAACCTCAGTGCACACTGATATAAGGAAATGAAAAATGAAGGAATCTGTCTTCCTGACTCCTGTGGTGAAGCAGTACTGCTGGTTCTGTCGTGCTTCCTATCCTGTGCCCTTTAGTCCTCAACCTTCACACAGATGGCTCTCTGCTTCTGCAGATTGAATACAGAGAAATGACAAGCAGTCTCCACTGATGACACCGTTTGCTTTTCTGAGGAGGCATGCTCAGCTTCAGCCACACTATTTGTTTTTCAGTAAGCTCTGACGGAGTGGTACCTTCAGTTTTCACCTATGGCTTGCATGTCTCCTTCTCCTGGGCCCAGGCCTGACTCTGGCTTTCTGGATGTTAACAAATGAGACAGTGAGGCCCACACCTATTCCTCTGACTCAAAGGGGAGGATGTCAGTGTAGCTGCCTGTGACAACGGTGTTGTATTCTCAGTCTCAAATCTGTGCCAGGCAGGCTGCCTCACTATGACATGTGGTTCTTACTCAATCTTGTTTGATCTACATCCTTTCCCTGTGGAAACATCAAACTAAGGCCTCCATCTCTCCTGTATTCCTTGAAAAGAATCACAGGACACGTTTGCCAGACATCTATGCCTGAGGCTGCCCAAATAAAGAAAAAAAGGTCTCTGTTTTACCATGGTGGATGATATTCTCTGAAATTCTCAATCTGTTTCTGTGATTTGTGGCACATATTAGCAGTTCTCTGTAAGGACTGGATGCTCTTTTTATCAAATTAAGATTCTTGGCTACCTCGGAGTCCCAAGACTAAGCAAAGTTTGGGGCACACCAAATGTCTCTCCTTACCCATGAATCCCCACTCTTCTGGGCATGTTGTACTCCTCACCTCACAGGGTCTGAGTTCCACCACCAGCCTATGTGAAAATGCCACACTGATAACAAGGCCTTCTCCTTGAGTCCCAGGGTAGATACTAAGGAGAGTATCTGTAGCAGAATGAATGGGCCCTTGTGTGTGGGTGAGATGTACTAGGAAAGTTGAATCAGGACCACAGTTTTATTTCCCCCAGTGTCATGTACAGTCTGTGTACTATCTGATCTCTAATACTAACTTTGTTTTCAAAAAGGAAGAGAGCTGATGAATTTTTGAGACTGACTTTTTCTCCACAGCTAACTTCACATAGGCATATGATCCTGTTTTCACCACTATGGTGTTCATTTCCTTTCTGAAATATCACATTGGTTTTAGGAAACTTACTTTTTTGGCAGTGTCTTTCAATTCAATAATTTGACCACATTAGTCTTTAATAGCCTCCACTGTGTTTGTAATGAGAAGAAATACAAACCATAGCAGTTACTTCTACACCTGTGTTACAACTTGGAGAATCAGAGAAAACACAAACATAGGTGACAACATGTGCCCCAGGCTGGGAGGAGTGCAACAGTGTGACGTTTCCATGAACTCTGATCCAGGTTTGAGGCCCAGACTTGTGAGGGCCTCATCAGCTGTGTGAGCAGCACAGCCATCACCCACATCTATGGCACAGCCTTTGGCCCCACATGAATGAGATAGGCCTGGCAACCTTGCCATGCAGGACTGGTGGAAGCTGGGTAATGAATGGGAAGCCCTGAGCACAGCTACAGCCATCAGGGAATCTGTCCTGAGTCAGGAGGCTGTACTTTCTGACCAACAATTTCACCTCCCTTAGATCTCTTAATCAGACAGGGAGCTGAATTTGTCAGTCTTTCTCTAAGTGCTCCAGTGCAGACTTAGAAGGCAAGGCACACAATTAATCTCTCATCTTGTGAAGGGGCCATTGGCTCGAGTTTCACCTTTCTGTTGGTTTGATCCCAGGCAGTGTATTCGGCTCCCCTCCTTGTAATCTGTGCTTATCTCATCTTAGTCATGCGCTGTTAATCTGTGCCCTATCAGAAAAGAAAAAATTGGAGATGGATTTTCCTGCTACACCCCTACCCAGACACTCAGAATAATAAAACTTACAGGTTGCAGATCACAGCATTATGTGTTATATGGCTCTACATACTGTGAAAGCAGAGTGTTCTGAATGAAACCCCTGTGTAGCCTCCAATTACTCTCACTTCCTTTCTGGCCACTGTCTTCATGATGTCTTCCCATCCCTATGACCTTTGTACCCAAAATGATGGCCACCTCATCTTATCCTTTGTACCTGGGATCCTTATGGCCTGGGAATAGGGAGAATTCTCCATGTGTATCACTGATGTGTGTAGTACAGCCTACGTTCTTCAGTGACTGCCATCTGACTTCCAGATAGCCCGCAGGGCTTGATGGAAGAGATATGTTCCATTCCAGCATCCTCAATACCCTCATATCTTGAAGAACGTGTTCCACTCCCCCCATGTGAGGGCAGCTGCTCACAGTGACTCAGTCAATGGTGTTAGAAACAACCTGTTAACTTCTTGGACTCCTGGCATGACTTTAAATGTTGATGTGGAATGTCATCTCTGCTCTCATTACGGACCATAAAGTTTTCCTTCTTCTGTGCCTCGAGGGATCCACTTTGAAGCATCCTCACTGTCATATCCTCACTGATATGACCTGGAAGGGAGCGAACCTAAGTGGACCACAGCCAGGTCCTCAGACATTATGATTTTTTACTTTGATTCTTAGCCACCGGGAGCTGAGCTCTTTTCCCTCCCCACAGGAGGATGCTGCCCTGAGGGTCCACAGATTCCTAAGAAGTCCTAAGTACACAGGGCCGGATCCTGAGAACCATAGCTGGTCCTTGGAATTTGTGTCTTAGAGTGCTCTGGATGAGCCTCCCTGTGACACTTATTATGCTCTGGGGTTGTGACCTCCCAACTCCTCCTATAATGGTGTTAAGGTTCCCTAGATTTGTGCTGTATGCCTCTGGGAGGAATCCTGTCAATGACATACTTATGCATGCAAAATGGAGCCAAGTTTCCCCTCTGCAAACATTGTTGAGAATGGGCAGCTTTTGGGAGGTGGTGTGAGTTGGGGACTGAGGCAGGTACTCAAGACAATGTACATCATGTACTACATTCCACTGTCAGTCACATAGAAGTTTGTATATAATAACATTGCTTTATATTTTTATAGGTAAAAGTTAGTCCAAGAGTGTTATTATTCTTGTTGCTGTTGTCATTATTGTTTGTGGCATAGGTGATCAATCTCAGAGTCTCATGTAAGTAAGCTCAACCACTGGGCTACCAACTACACAACTCAATCAGGAAAATATGGAAATACTTGGAGTTTTTGAAGCAACAAAGCATTGAAAATATAAATCACCCTAATGTCCTTGAATATGCCCTCTGTCTCTTTCCTCTGATCAGCATGTCCTCTGAGAAACTGAGGAACATTATTAAATGATACCTTCCTCTCCTGCTGGAAAGCACTTCTTGCATGCACTGATGGTGTGCACAGAGCTCGTCCGTTTCCTTCTGGAGCACCCCTTCTATTCTGGGATAGAAAGTCATCTCTGCTCACATTGCAGACTATAAAATCACATGGTAGCAGTGCTCGTACCCCTTCCCAAGGGTGGCAGTAAGTTTCACACCTCCACCCCACGTCCTCCTTTCCTTGCTGGACCATAGGGGTGTTTAAGTCTCTTCATTCTATTATCCTTGCCAGGGCACAAGGTCTGAGAGCTCTGTGGAAGCTTTGTGGACATGGACATGCCGTTGAACTCAGTCCTAAGTCAGATCTTCTTGTAGGGGCAAACTTCACCTGACAGAATAGCCCACCACATTAGTGAGTGCCATCAAGTCTATGGTTTCTTATACAAAAAATATAAGGGACAGAAAGCGTCTTGTCTCATGTCTTTTGCTTTTTGCTGTCCTCTTTGACCTTCCAAGGTTGCCGTGTGTCACTCCCCTTGCAGCCAGCCAACCTGGTCCAAAACCCCTGCAATCTATGACATAAATGAACCTTTCATCTTTTAACATTGGGTATCAGTTATTCTGTCTCAACAATGAGAAAAATAACTATGACATGGGAAAATGACTGTAGTTTTTTCACACTAAGTCTGATATAGTCATTGATGAATTATACTTGAAATGGCTTTGAGGTTTTACATGTGCATGATGATTTGTGTTACAGTACCTTACTGTGAGAATCAAATAGTCCTTGCAAGGGTAGATCCAGATGAAGTTTTCTGGGTGTTGATGTGGAAAGGAACGTTTAGGACCTCGAAATCAGGGATGTGCAGGACACAGATCTGTTAAGGGGTGAGTTAAGAAACAGAAGCTTATAAAGGATATGTTAAAAAGACATTCTAATGAACAACAGAAGAGCTAGGACAAAATAGTGTCTTCAGAATTATCGCAGAGACCACACCGTACTCAGTTCAGCTACACCTCATTGGCACATGGGAAACTTTGTATTGTACAACCTTGTACCCAGGCAGGGATATAGGATTAGTTCTAGCCAATGAAAAACAGGTGCAGGATGCTGGTGCATCCTGAAAATGTGCAAAAAATCCTTAAACCTCCTCCACTGCTAGTACATACAGAACTGGGTCAACTCTTGTTGTGTTATAAATGTGGTATGTGGGAACTAAATTTTTATCTTAGTGTAACTATTCTAATGTTGACTAACACTACATCTAAGGCTGTAGCATATTTACTGAAACAGTGCTATGTATACTACATGCTATATAAAGAGACACTGCAGCACATTTTCATATGTGGAATAATTGTGCCAACACT